TATTATTTAGTGTGTGTTTTTACATTGTTTACATGGACCTCTTGATTATCCAGAATATTTAATCAATCAACACACTCTGGGTCCCATAGGCGCTGGTTAATAATAAATTTACTGTACTTCTTCGCTTCTCGTATTTGTTTTCTCACCTTCGTTTCTCAACCCTGTGTTCAACTTGGTTCTCAATTGTATTTACTAGATGGCACCCATCATAAGTACACTGTTTCTTTTTTATCTTAAATTGCCATCTCCTTTCTGGTCCAGGGAATTCTGGATTTGTTTGTCCTACCTTTCGCTTCTGAGGGAATATATATTGACTGTGCCCAAGCCACCTCATTTTTGGAGGTAGCCCATTGTTCAGCTACTATTTTCACTGCCAAATATTGGTTCCAGTCTATCTGACCCAGCTCTGTCCTTGTCCTAATGAAGTCTGCTCTCCGTAAGTTGACTATTCTTATTCTCGATTGACCAATGTCCTTTTCCACTGTCATCCTAAACTTTATGATACAATAATCACTGTCCCCCGCAATGTTCACCCACTGTCGCTTGCTCTAAAAGGTCCATCTCATTCCCAAGAATCTGGTCTAACAATGTCTCCTTTTCTGTTACACTGAGCACCCAACTACTGTATGTTGTTGTCCTGAACAACAATCATGGAAATCTTGCCCTTCATTGGCCCTTACACCTACCACTACACCAGTCAACATACAGGTAATTGAAGACCCCCATTATAACTGTTCTGTGATGTTTACATCTTTCTGTAATTCCCTTACAACTTTGTTCCTCTACATCCTTCCCACTAACTGATCGTCTATATATTACACCTGACACCCTCTTTATTCCTTAGACATAGCCAAACAGATTCTAACCTCGAACCCTTTGAAACATCCACTTTCGCCAGCACTGCAATGCTTTCCTACACCAATACTGCAACTTACCTCCTGCCACCAACCACCACCCCCCCACTATATTTTTGGAAAATGTTTCTTAAATCACGCTTCTGTTATTACCGCAGCATCAGAATCTCACAAGGCAATCTGTGCCTGTAACTCCCTAATCTTATTTACTATACTATATTCAGATTTCAATATTTTCTCCCTTACTCAAACTTCATCTATTAAACTTACTATTCTCTACACTAGGACTAGCTTTCTTTCACAGCATTTTTGTGCATTAATCTCTATTATTCTGTCTTGGTTCCCTGGCAAGTTGGTTTAAAGCCCTCCCAACAGTATCAACACAACACCCCACAAGGCACCCAGTCCTACCTCTGTTCAGGTTTAACCATCTGGCTTGTACAGGTGATCTACCTTCCCCAGAGCCAGTCCCAGTGTCCCAGGAATCTTAAACCCTCCCTCCTGCACCATCCCCTCAGAGAAGAAGTTCCTCCTCATTTCTGTCTTAAATGTGCGACTTCTTATTCTGAGGTGATGCCCTCTGGTCCTAGATTCACATACAAGGGGAAACAACCTTTCTGTATTTATCCTGGCAAGATTCCCAACATTCTTGTATTTCAATAATGTCACCTCTCTTGCTTCCAATGAATACAGTCCCAAATCTCTCCAACCTGCCCTTATAAGACAGTTCCTTCATACCCAGGATCAGCCTAATGAACCTTCTCTTGGCTGCCTCCAATGCTAGTATGTCCTTCCTTAGATAAAGGGGCCCAAACTGTTCACAGTATTCCAGCTGCAGCCTGACTAATACATTGTACAGTTTTAGCAAAACTTCTCCATTTTTATACTCCATTCCCTTCAAAATAGAAACCAACATTCCATTGGCCTTCCCTATTACCTGTTGAACTCATGTGCTAGTTTTTTTTGTGATTCTTGCACGAGAAGTCTCAAATCTCTCTTTGCAGCAGCTTTCTGCAGTCTCCTTTTTAATAATCTTCAGCTCCTCTATTCTTTGTGTCAAAATGCATGACCTCACATTTTCTCACATTGCATTCCATCTGCCAAGCTTTCGCCCACTCACTTAACCTTCTGCAGACTGTTATCTTCACCACTTGCCTTCCCACTTATGTTTGTACCATTGCAAACTTGGTGACAGTACACTCATTTTCCTCAAGTCATTAATATATATTGTAAGTAATTGTGGCTCCAGCACTGATCCCTGTGGCACACCCCTAGTTGCAGGTTGCCATTCTGAAAATGTCCCCATTTTTGCAGCTTTTATAAGCTAGCCAATCCCCTACTCATGCTGATATACTACCCCCAACTTCATGGGCTCTTCTATTATTAAGTAGCCTAATGTGTGACACCTTATCTAATGCCTTCTGAAAGTCCAAATATATTATGTATACTGTTTCCCCTTTATCTATCCTGCTTGTTATCTCTTCAAAGAGCTCTAATAAAATTTCCCCTTCATGAAGCCATACAGACTCTGCTTGATTGTATTACGTATGCCCACTTGAAAGCAACGTACGAGGAGGATGGTGGATGTTAACACTGACAACTGGGAGACAGTACCTGACAAAGACACGATAAGATGCCCTGCAGCAACTCACCAGGCTCCTTTGATAGCACCTTCCAAATCCGTGACCTCTACCATCTGGAGTGCGACAGATGCAGAGCAAAGTGTGCAGACGACTCTGAAAGTTTGCAGAGGGATGTAGTTTAAGTGAGTGGGAAAAGGTCTGGCAGATGAAGTGCAATGTTGACAAATGTGAAGTCATCCATTTTGGTAGGAATAGCAGTAAAAAGACCTATTATTTGAACAGTAAAAAATCGCAGCATGCTGTTGTGCAGAGGGACCTGGGTGTCCTTGTGCTTGAATTGCAGAAGGTTGATTTGCAGGTCCGACAGGTAATCAAGAAGGTAAATGGAATTTTTCCTTCATTGCTAGAGGGATGGAGTTTAGAAGCAGGGAGGTTATGTTACAGCTGTATAGGTGCTGGTGAGGCCACACCTGGAGTACTGTGTACAGTTTTGGTCTCCTTATTTGAGAAAGGATGTACTTGCACTGGAGGGAATGCAGAGGAGAGTCACTAGGTTGTTTCCAGAGTTGAGGGAGTTGGCTTATGAGGAGAGACTGAGTAGACCAGGATTATATTCATTGGAATTTAGAAGAATGAGGGGGGATCTTATAGAAACACATAAAATTATGAGAGGAATAGATAAGATAGAAGCAGGGAGGAAGTTTCCACTGGCGGGAGAAACTAGAACAAGGTGGCATCGCCTCAAAATTAGGGAGAGCAGATTTAGGACTGAATTGAGGAGGGACATCTTCACCCAAAGAGTTGGGAATCTGTGGAATTCCCTGCCCAATGAAACAGTTGAGGCTTTCTCATTGAATGTTTTAAAAGCTAACACAATTTTTTCAACAGTGAAGGAATTAAGGGTTATGGTGAGAGGGTGGATAAGTAGAGCTGAGGCCACAAAAAGATCAGCCATGATCTTATTGAATGGCAGAGTGGGCCATTCCCTCCCTAACACCTAACCCCTGAAGGACTGCAATGGTTCAAGGAGGCAGCTCACCACCATTTTCTCGAGGACAATCAGAGATAATTATAGAGTCATACAGCATGGAAACAGACCCTCTGGTCCAACTCATCCGCACTGACCATGTTCCCAAACTAAATTAGTCCCACTTGCCTGCATTTGGCCCAAATCCCTCAAACTTTTCCTATTCGTGTACTTATCCAAAAGTTTTTTAAATGTTGTAACTGTGCCTGCATCCATCACTTCCTCTGGCAGTTCATTTCACACACTAATCACTCTCAGTTTTAAAAGGGACAATGAGGGGCAACTTTTTTTACATGTGCTCCTCTCGCTTAAAAATATGCCTCCTAGTTTTGAACTCCCCCACCCTAGGGAAAAGACCTTTGCTATTCATCTTATCTATGCCCCTCATTTTATAAACTTATATAAGGTCACCCCCTCAACCTCCTACGTTCCAGTGAAAAAATTCCCAGCCTATTTATATAACTCAAACCCTCCATTCCCAGCAACATCTTGGTAAATCTTTTCTGAGTCCTCTCCAATTTAATATGAATGGCCTACTTCTGTTCCTATATCTCATGGTCTTTAATGCATTCATAGTCATTGTCTTATAAAAATGGATGCTCAGGAGGTCATGGCTAAGTTGTATAAGCAACAACTCAGTTTTAAAGGTCTGATCCTTCTTTTCAAAGCCCTCAAATGGCATTGTCTCTCCACTTTTCTGTAATCCTTCCAGTCCTATATCTGACATCTGTGGTCTTCCAGCTCCAACCCCTCAAGTATCCACATACAATCATTGTGTCTTCAGCATCCAGATCTCAAGTTCTGAAATCTAGTCTCTCAACCTCTCATTTCTCCTGAAACCTATTCCTTTGACCAAGATTATAACAGCTGTTGCACAGCAGTAATGTCCCTTCCTCTGAGCCAGCAGATCTGGGTTCAAGTCCCACCTGCTCCAGATTGACTCGAAACATTTATAAGTCACCCATCCGAATAACATCTAATGTGCTTTGGTAAATTTTGTACCATACTTCTGTGAAACACCTTGGGATGTTTTCTTAATGTTAAAGGTGTTCTATAGATGTAACTTGTTTAAATATAAGAATATGATAAATCAGTGATTCTGGGAGTCAAAACTAAATCTTTACTGGTCATTGTAATTAAGTATGGTTAGTTGGATGAATAATTTACCAATTTTTTAAAATAAATTTTGGCAATTTAACAAAACTGAGAATATACCAATTAACTCCCACCTCCCCCTCCAGTGATCCCGGGGTAACGCAATAAAAACTGAAAGAACTGCGGATGCTGTAAATCAGGAACAAAATCAGTAGTTGCTGGAAAAGCTCAGACTTGAAGAAGAGTCGCCGGACCCGAAACATTAACTCGGATTTCGCTCGGCACAGGCGCTGCCAGACCTGCTGAGCTTTTCCAGCAACTTGTGTTTTTGTCCCGGGCTCCGCACTGTCACAGCACTGACCGGAAGTGACCTGTCCAAATGTTGACACATGAAATTGAAGAGCTGGTTTCCATGGCGACTTGAATGTAGCAGCTCCCACGTGGGACTCACTCGGAGAGGCGATGCTGAGCCTGTGCCCGGAGCATGGAGCTGCCCCGTGTGAGTGTGAGTTTACACTGAGAGTGAATTACACTGTGTGTGAGTGACACTGAGTGAATTACACTGTGTGTGAGTGACACTGAGAGTGAATTACACTGTGTGAGAGTGACACTGAGTGTGAGTTTACACTGAGAGTGAATTACACAGAGTTACACTGAGTGAATTACACTGTGTGTGAGTTTACACTGAGAGTGAATTACACTGTGTGTGAGTTTACACTGAGAGTGAATTACACTGAGAGTGAATTACACTGAGTGTGAGTTTACACTGAGTGTGAGTTTACACTGTGAGTGACACTGCGAGTGAGTTACACTGAGTTATAGTGTGTGCGTTGCACTGAGAGATACACTGTGTCAGTTAAACTGTGTGTGTTATCGTGTGTGAGTTATACTGTGAGAGTTATTTATACTGTGTGTGATCTGCTCTTTGTGTGTGAGCTGGCCTTTTTGTATCCACTGCTGAGTCTGCCTTTTGTGCACTGGTGGGTGTGTCTGACAGTTCTTTCAACACCCACCTTCACTTCCATCTTGTACCCTGGAGCTGTGGATACTGATATGATAGCTGCTATTAGTCCAAATTCTATCCATCATATGGTTGACTAGGAATCTCTCCCACTTCTACAATCTGCTGCTGGTGTGGGATTGACAAGTTGGCACTCATTTGCCCATGTCATGAATGTGCTTTACTTGACCATCAAACCCTGAGCTCTGGTTTAGAGTCAGAGAGTCAACCCAATGCAAATGACTGCCCTAGGCAAAGTGTGCAGTTGGTTTTAGAACAAGCTGGTAGCCTTTGAAAGGATGATCTCCCAGTTTTGTGTGGGAGTGTCTGACAGTACAGGTGAGCCAATGACTGTATTGAGAGATCGGAGAGCCAGCAGTTTCTGAGATCCAGCACTAGGCAGTCAGTACAGAGTGTAAAGGTCACACTATAATAGTGAATTTGTTTCAAACATTAGTAAGACCGCAGTTGGAAATTGTGCGTAGTTTGGACATTGTACTATTGGGAAAAATTTGAGGACAGTAGAAAGGGCACAGAATTGTTGGGGTGTTTCTGGGTTTCAGGAAAATCAGGTAGTTGGAAAGAAACTGTAGCTGGGATGAACTCATTGTCAGAGTTTGAGATTCATGCAAAAACCATGTCAACGTTAAAACATCTTTTTTCCTTAAACATGCTGTAGGCATGGATAGCAAGGCTAACATTTGCTGCCCATCCCTAATTGCCCATGAACTGTTTGGCCATTTCAGAGGGCAGTTAAGGGTCTGTGGTTCTGGAGTCACCTGGAGTCATATACGGCATGGAAACAGATATTTTGGTCTAACTCGTCTGTGCAAACCAGATACCACAATCTGACCTAGTCCCATTTGCCAGCATTTGGCCTATATTCCTCTAAACCCTTCCTATTCATGTACTCATCCAGATGCCTTTGAAATGTTGTAATCGTACCAGCCCCCACCACTTCCTCTGGCAGCTCATTCTATGCACGCAATAAACCTCTGCGTGAAAAAGTTACCCCTTAGGTCCCTTTTAAATCTTTCCCCTCTCATCTTAAACCTATGCCCTCTAGCTTTGGACTCCCCCCACCCTGGCTATTCACCTTATCCATGCCTCTCACGATTTTATAAACCTCTATGACGTTACCCCTCTGCCTCCAACGATCCAGGGAAAATAGGCCAACCTATTCAAGCTCAAGCCTTAGACCAGATTGGGTAAGGACAGGAGACCTCCCTCCCTGAAGAGTGTTAGTGAACCAGACGGGTTTTTACAGCAATTGATGATAGTTGTTGCCACTTAAGGAAACTAGCTTTCAATTCCACCAGCTGCTGTGTTGGGGTTTGAACTCATGTGCCCAGAGCATTACCCTGGACCTCTGGATTATTAGTCAGTGACGTTATCACTGTACCCGAAAAACACTTAGAGAAGGTGTTCAAGAAAAACGGCTAAATTGATATGGGAACAAGGCAGGTGCATGGGATCGAAATATTGTTTGTGTGGAGGATAAACATGAACAGTGAGCTGAATGGACTCTTTCAATTTTGTGATTTCTACGTAATTAATCAAACCCGCTAAAACGTGCAAAATTGTTGATTTGTTTTAATGCTAACTAACTTCTCTTGCCACTTGAGACTTATGTACATGAGCCCTCAGATCCCTCTTCCCTGCATAGTCCTTTATGCATCACCTCACACTCCATGTATTAAACTCCATCTGCCTCTGCCTGCCCACTCTGCTAGCCTATCCATGCCCTTGATGATGTTAGGGATGGAACTGTCTGTGTGGAGTTTGTACATTCTCCCAATATCAGTGTGGGTTTCCTCCAGATGCTCTGGTTTCCTCCCACAGTCCGAAGATGTGCTGGTTAAGTGGATTGGCCGTGCTAAATTGCCTGTAGTGTCCAGAGATGTGCAAGATAGGTGGGTTAGTGATGGGAAATGCAGGGTTACAGGGATAGTTTAGAGGGTGGGCATGGGTGGGATGCTGTTCAGTGGGGGGAGGCCTGTGTGGTCTCAGTGGGCCAAATAGCCGGCTTCCACACTGTAGGGATCCTGATTCTATGTTGCAGTTGATTTGTACAGCTTCTCTGTTTGCTCCAAGTTTGAAGTTAATAACTGCTGTTTAGTGGGGATTGGACCAGCTAGTCCTCCCTCATCCCCGCTCCTTTGACCCCTGAGTCAGAATTAGGGAATTCCATTCCTGACAACATCAAGGGCATATGTGCAATCCACAGACTGTAGCAGCTCCAGCAAAGAAAGGCAGGGTATGTGTATTGCACCTTCCATGAACACCTGATCTCTCAATGTGCTTTACAGTTGATGAATTACTTTGAAAATCTAGTCACTTAATGTAGGAGCATCATCTACAAATTGTGTCACAAACTTCAGTTTTAATGTTAAAACTGAATCTGCAGTTTGTGTTTGCATGTTTGTGTTTCAGTGAAAGACCACCTTGTTAAAACCAAAAAAAAATCTATCAAGCCAGATTTTAGTCTGGGATCTGATTTGTCCAGCAATAATGTCACCTGGGATCATGACACCTGTAAAATTAATTCTTTATTTATTCAATCTCTCGTGTCTTTCACTTTTCCACAGATCTCCCTTTTGTCTCGTCCCTCCCACTCCATCTGTAAACTGTCCCAGAGATAGTAGGAACTGCAGATGCTGGAGAATCTGAGATAACAAGGTGTAGAGCTGGATGAACACAGCTGGCTAAGCAGCATCAGAAGAGCAGGAAGGCTGACATTTCGGGCTAAATTGTCACAGACCTGAAATGTTATCTCTGTTTCTGTCTCCACACAGGCTGCCTGACTCCTTCCACCATTTCCTGTTTTTATTCCAGGTTGCTAACATCTGCTTTCCCTTTAGTAAAACATTATTCATTTATGGGATGTGAGTGTCACTGGCGAAGCAAGCATCTATTGCCCGTCCTTAATTGCCCAGGAGAAGGTGATGGTGAGTCTCCTTCTTGAACTGCTTGCTGTCCATTTGGTGTAGGGGACAAACATTCTGAGAAAAGATTATTTTAAAGTTGAAGCTTTGTCTAAGTAACGATTGCATTGACATGGTCAGTATAACAAAATAATGAGTAACATCAAATTTGCCAACTCCGGCAGGAAGGTGATCCAGAGGTTTCATCACATTACTGTGTTCTGCCAAACATCCCGCTCCCCCCCCACCCCACTCTCTCTGTTGTTTGCCTGACTTGTCTGTCATTGTAATATGTTACCTTCTCACAGCCAATCAGAGATCAAAGGTGTGGAGCTGAATGAACATAGCAGGCCAGGCAGCATCAGAGGAGCAGGAAAGCTGACATTTCGGGTCAGGACCTTCCTTCAGAAGAAGGGTCCCGACCCAAAACGTCAGCTTTCCTCCTCCTCTGATG